CCAGATCTCCCCGCTTCATACCTTATGTCCAGTTGTGCTCACAAAGATGCCTGTCGCCAGCTCATACACACGAATTCCTTACCCATAGTAGGCTCTTCTCCTACCTTCTCCCCTATCATGGAGGATAACACAGACTTGGGTAAGGTACCTAAAAACTTTATATTATTATTATTATTTTGTGCCAGTACTTGGGCTTGAACTTGGGGCCTCATGCACTCCCTCAAGGCTGGCGCTCTACCACTTGAGCCACACCTCCACTTCCTGTCGGCTCTTGTAAATTCAGCTGGTCCTAGCACAGCATGGGTAATAAGTTAGACGCTCCCTGCTTACCTCTTCCGTGGCAATGGTACATTCCTATAAAGGTTCTTGCTAAACCTAAGATCACATCATTTCCACAGGGTCCGGGCCTCTGGGTGCATTTTGTATGGATGGGATCCTTGCCTTTCCTCGTTGGGATTACTAACTATACTTTGATTTTTAAAATTTTTATTTTTTTTGTCAGTCATGGGGGCTGAACTCTAAGAATGATGACTATGGGGCTGGGAAGTTGGCACAGTGGTAGAGTGCTTGCCTTGCATGCATGAGGCCCTGGGTTCAATTCCTCAGCACCACATAAACAGAAAAGGCCAGAAGTGGCACTGTGGCTCAAGTGGTAGAGCGCTAGCCTTGAGCTGAAGAGCTGAGGGACAGCACCCAGGCCTAGAGTTCAGGCCCCACCACCGACCAAAAAAAAAAAAGTGAATATATATTTTAAAGGTCTTGCAAGCACCAAGGTACACTAGAACTAAGGAAAATAAACTTCCTTGCGAGAGACTGACATTTCAACACTGTCATTTAGTTATTTACATTTTTTAATATCTGAAAGGGGCATATAAACTTACATAAACACATGTATACGGCCAGATGCTGGTGGCTCAAGCTGGTAATCCTAACTACTTAGGAGACTGAGATCTGAGGATCCGTTTGGAGCCAGGCAGGCAGACAAACTGGAGTGACCGATTTCCAATTAACTAGCAAAAAAAAAAAAAAAAAAGCCAGAAGTTGGCAAGTGGTAGAGCACTAGCCTTGTGTGGAAAAAAGCTAAGGGACAGTGCCCAGACCCTTGAGTTCAAGCCCCAGGACCAGCACCAAAATAAAGAAAAAATAAATATCCATATGAATGTGTTTGTGTAGGAAACTTAAAATAGCTCAACTGCTGACAGCTGCTCCAGAGAAGTGAACCAAAGCCTAGGAGACCTGTGGTTTAGAGAACAAATTAAACCACAGCACTCCATAATCTCCTGCAACTATAGACAGTCTGAACGAATGCAGTGGGCCTGGCTCTGTTGCTAGCAAGGTGCTGGGCTCTGCGTTGGCACCGAGAGCTCAGACACAGCCTTGAAACACAGCGAGGAGCAAGGCTTAGCCTGCAGGTTGACCAGCAGGGATGGACAGGAGTCTCCCAGAGAAAGTGCTCTCAGGGAAGCACAGGGGAGCTGTGGGAAGCTTCTGGAAGGTTGGTAATGATGAGAACTAAGCACCGGCTCTTGAGAGACTTTAACAGAAAGGACAGTGGCTGTAGCAAATAAAGAAAAGTGAAATTCACCTTTGGGATGGGAGTTTATTACCTGGCGGTGCCTCAACCTTGGCTCTGGCCGCTGGAGAAGGAAGAAGGGGGTGAGCAGGGGCCCAGTGGACTTGGACTCAGGGTCCCATCCTCTTGCTTAGCTTTTTTCACTCAAGGCTAGCGCTCTACCACTTGAGCCACATGTCTGCTTCTGGCTTTTTGCTGACTTTTCTGTGCCAGATGACTTTTGAATGGAGATCCTCAAATCTCAGCCTCCTGAGTAACTAGGATTATAGGAGTGAACCACCAGCACCTGGCTATCTTTATCCTTTTACTGACTCAACTCTATTCCTGAGAGTTGAGGCAGGAAAGCAATGGAGCCACCATTAGGGACCACAACACATTATAAGAAGCAATGAATGGAACTTTCCAAGAAGGCAGAACAGGGGACGAATGTCAGTCCTCACCCTTCTTAAGACTGTCATTGCATGCTCTCTTATTTATATTTAAAGCCAGAATTCCTGAAACAAAATCATTTTACTCTCCTAAGTTCTTTACAACATGAAATATTCACATGTAATACCAGTAGAATACATTTGATTAGGTCAGACTTCTTAATTTGTGAGCTCAGTTGTTGGAAAAAGAGACCAATAAGTCCTGCCAGGTGTGATAGTGAATGCCTGTAATCCCAGCTGCTCGTGAAGTCAAGGTAGGAAGAGCAAAGTTGGGGTAGGGTGCTCAAGCGATACAACACTTACCGAGCAGGAGAGAGGCCCTGAGTTCCATCCCCAGAACCAGCCCCCTCAAAACAAGAAACGTCCAGAAAGAACACACATGGAGAAGACAGGCCCACTGCTGGGGGCGGGGAGATTAAAGAGCTTTCAAAAGCACCGGGCAGAGAGCACAGCCAGGGAAAGCACAGAGAGAAACAGCAGCAAAGCCCAATTTGGACAGGTTTGTTCGCAGATGCCGGCACCTGCTGCAGCTCGCTGAGATTCTCCCACCTAAGCGTTAACACGTGCAGACATCCACAGGCGGGGCGCAAGTGCCACAACAACGCCAAAGAATACACACACCAGAGCAAAATTAACTGCTCAGATACACAACAGCGAGTCGCTTAGCTACACACTGTGTGGGAGAGACTGATGTGCTGCGAGGTGGGCCAGCTGTGGGTGGGTGGATGGGGCGAGTGAGCACTAGAAGGGACCACAAAGGCCTGTGGACTGGGGGGACCCAGGACACACACGCAGGTGCACCCCCGGCAAGACTCGGGGACATCCACCTCACAGCTGAGGCTAACCTTGCACCTCTGGCTTTCTTAACTATCCATCAAACTCCCCTAGAAGTTCCTAGGACAGACTTTGAATTGCCCTACAGAGAAAGGCTGCCCTGCTCATAGCTATGCTGTCAGTGCTGAGGTTGGGACGATCCTCCATGGCAGTCCTGTCCTGCTCAGTGGTTCCATCTGAGCAGCTACTTTTTCTTGTGTATGTTGGGACTGGAGGCTTGACCTCAGGACCTGGGCGCTTTCCCTTACCTTTTCGAAGCCCCCCTGAGCAGCTTCAAAGTCCCTGTGAAGCTCTTTTATATCCAATTAACCATTCAAAAACCTTCAAGCGAAGCCAGGCATCGATGGCTCACACCTGTAATCCTAGCTATTCAGGAGGCTGAGATCTGAGGATTGCGGTTCAAAGCCAGCCCGGGTAGGAAAGTCCGTGAAAGTTTTATCTCCAATAAACCACCAGAAAACCGGAAGTGGCTCTGTAGCTCAAGTGGTAGAGCGCTCGCCTTGAGCTGAAGAGATGAGGGACAGCGCCCAGGCCCAGAGTTCAGTTCAAGCCCCACAACTGACAAAAACAAAACAACAACAACAAAAAAAACCCTCCAAGTGGAGCTGTGGCTCACAGAAGTAACACTAGCCTTGAGCAAAAGAGCTCAAGGATGGTGCCCTGGCCGAGAGTTCAAGTCCCACAACTGACAAAGTCTGTCCAGGCTGACTTTGAACCGTCATCCTCGGATCCCAGTCTCCTGAGTAGCTAGGTGTACAGGTGTGAGCCACTAATGCTGGGTGAGAAGTTAATTAAATTCCTCCCAGCTGACTCTATGGATCAACCCCCATAGAGGTGCTCTGTTCCAAGTCAGGGGAACCCAATATCACCAGTCTACGAAAACGGGGTCCACATGAACGGCAGCAGCCAAAACAAAAAACAAAAGACAGTTCTGTTTTGTAAGAAACAATATATTTTATTTTTCTGACACCACAGCTCTGGCAAGTGGTTTTGTACCAAATTTAATGGAGGTTACACAGAACGTTTTACGCATGGAAGAGAGAAGAAAGGGAAGAAGGAACCACAAAACTTCAAAACAAAACAAAACAAAACCCAAACAAAACAAAAAAAAAAGGCCTGGATAGCTTTTAGCATCTGCTCCACTCCCGACATGAATACAATTCACCTGGGAATTCTTCTAAGAACAGAAAACAAGGTGAGCGAGGAAGAGGACAGTAGGGAAGAGAAGAGGCAAGGGGAAAAGGCCAGAGGCCGCCCCACCCCGGACAGAGCTCTCCCTGCCGCCACGACACTGCATGTGCCCCCAAAGAATATGGGGGTACTGGTGAGGAGAGGGGGGGAGGAAACACCCCTAACCCAGGGGACTGGACAGAGAGGGGGAGAAAAACGTCGTGATCGGGTTGTGTAGTGTAGATTGTGCTCAGGAAAGCACTGCAACTGGAAAACCAACAACCAAACCGACAACAACAACGACAAAAAAACCAAGGTCCTAAGCGTCGTCATCTTTAGAAAGAAACGCGGCCCCGCCCCCCGCCCCTCGCCGAACTTCGTTCCTTTTTTTTTGTTTTTGTGCTTTTCGTTAATACTCTGCGCTGAGGTCGTAGTTTGGTTTTGTTTTTTTTTTTCTTTTTTCTATATACTGGAGTTGAAAGAAAATAGTCCCAAGGTGTGAAGACGGGCCGTGCGCGCGCGCGGCCTCCTGGTCTCGTCTCGTCCGGGAGACTCGAGTCTCTGCCCCTAGAATCTCTGCTAAAATCCCTTTTACAATATAGTACAGTACGCACACGGAGACAGAACCCCAAACAAAAAGCAACCCAAATCCACAGCCCCAAGCCCCGAACGAACGAGCAGAAAAGAAAGAGCAAGGAGTCCTGGAGAGGCCCGGCCACGGCGCCCCGGCAATAAACTTTAAACAATAAATCTTAAAACAACAAACGAACAAAAAAAGAAAAAAAACCAGAAGCAGAACGCCCAGCTGTGGATCGGACGACTCCCTTCGTTTCTCGGTGAATCCGTACATTCTGGAGATGTCCCCGCCGCGCCGCGGCCGCGCCCTCGGGTCCGGCTCCTCCCGGGGCTGCCCGCCGCCCCTCGCGTGCGCGCGGCCCGGGGTTCCCCCTCCCCTTACCCCCGGAGTCACCTCCGGACGAGCGTCCGTCCTTACGTCCGTCCCGCCGCGGCCTTCCGACGGTAGCAGCTCAGAACATCATGTTCCCCGGGTTCCCGGGGCCCTGGCTGAAGCCGCCCATGCCCACGTCGGCGGCCATGCCGCGGGGCCGCATCTGCGGCGGGATCATGAGGCTCTGCTGGGGTCCCATCATGCCCTGCATGGACATCACCATGCCCGGGGAGCCCACGGGGCCCGGGTGGCTGTAGAGGCCGGCGGGGCCCCGGTCCTTGCCGGCGGCGATCATGCCCACG